GGCCCCGACCGGCGACCGAGCAAAGCTCCGGAGCAACTGACCTTTTAGAGTTAATGTTACCGATGTTCGATAATATTACCCGCGGGTGTTTGATGCGAAGGACGCAGACAGAAACGCCGCTCGCACCCGCAGCTGTCGGTAACACTCACAAGGACAGACAAGTACACACGTAAAAATAAGAGTAAAAAATGAAAACAACAACAACCACCCACGTAACCGTGCTGGCACACAAACACTCAAATATGCTTTAAAGTATAATTCAAATCAAATCAACCGCTTCAACAGGCACACAACACAACACAAGTGCACACAGCGACTACACCACTCCAGCACAGTACAGCAATCCCAGCAGCCTCAACAGCAACTGCTGATTATTCCGCCTGTCCTCCTCTCAGTCTTAGACCTAGTGAAATCATTTTTACTTAGTTATTGTCTCATTTTAGTCTGAAAATAAAGGTCGTTGACTATAACTATGACAAAAAAAATTTGTCAAGAAAATTAACACTGGCCAGGACAAAGGTGAAACCAATAAAATATGACTGTTGTGGGGTGACCATCCACCGCTGCCTCTGAGGGCTACCACCCCATGAACTGCTGCAGCCAGACATATGCAGGGGTGAAACCTACTACAGGTCCAATCATTGTGTGGGAACCCCTTTTTTTAGAGTAGCGTCTATGCCGTTCTCGAAAATTATGAGGAACATTAGACTGAGCTGTCGTCGATGGTATAGCCACAGCAATTGTAACTTGCATTTCCGACTGGTCAGTGATGACAGGCGTATCAGAGACATCAGATATCCCATGAAATACAAGTAGGAGTCTTCTGCACCTTTCCCCTGACAATGTGGTCAACATGACATCTGCAGACATGATCTCCTACATCCACTGTATATGTCGAAGGACCTGTGTTTGTGAGTATCCATCTAAATTCCCATTTGTCACCTTGGTAGCCAAATATAAATGCATCATCTCCCACAATCAAATCCGTAACAGGCTTTCCAATGATTTCCTGAAATTGTTTATTCTGGACAAGCTGCTGCACATTCAGCTTGAGAAGGTCCAAATGAGACCTGTTCAGGAATAACATTGCAGGTCAGTGCTTTGTTCAAGATTCAAAAGTCAAGAAGATGTATTGTCATTCTGAGGACATAGGGGTAGCATGTTAGGGAACAATATTAGGTACCGCACTATAGTTTAAAATAGACATTCACTTCTAGGGGAAAAAATGGTTACAAATGATTTAAAGTGCAGGTGAACATTTTTTTATTTATTTATTTTTATTGCCCACCACCACCCCCCCTCTTCGGAGGACAACTTTATTTTACATTACATTCAAGAGCAAAGAGTGTGGCCGCTCCGAACTCACCAGTACCGTGGAAAAAGGAAAAAAAAAAAAAAGAAAAACGGGATACAGAAACAACAAGCGTAACAATAACAACAGACATCAATCACTATGGGGAGAGGGGGAGAGAAAAAAAAAAGGTAAGAGGGGGGGGATACAGAAACAACAAGCGTAACAATAACAACAGACATCAATCA